CTGCGTGTCCCCAGGACCAGGCTCTTGCCGGCGACGGTGCCCTTGTCTCCCTGGGGGTCAGGCTCCCCGCTTCTGAGGCTGTAGCACCGCCATCTGGACCAGGCCCCTGGTTTCGGGGGGAGCTAATGCAGCATCCCTCAACTCGTGGGGACCAGTCTCTGGCCTTTAGCCTGGGGGTGACAGTACCTCTGTCGCCCTAGGGACCTGTTCCTTGTCATCAGGGCCACGGAGCCTCCATCAGGACCGGGTCCCTGGATGGTGGGTGACCAATAACTTCCCTTTCCCGGTTCTTCACTTCCCCTGGGCCTGAGGTGGTGAGCTCTCCAGGAAACTAACTTTCACTTTCTTGATGGGACCTTACCCCATGGGTGTGAGCACCTCGTTTCTGTCCCAGAACCAACGTGGTGGGATTGAGCCAGAGTGACAGGCCAGGAAGAAAACAGGGGGGTCCCTAAAATTCACAGAGACCCAGAGAATGTCATCGCCTGGGCTCTGCTCCTCCCCTTTCCGCTCTCCTGGTCCAGGGAAGACTCACTTGGCTGGATACTTAGTACGGAGCCGAGGGCTCACCATCACTGTCCTTCTTGCAGATCACTGTCCTTCTCGCCCAGATTGTCATTCTGTTGTGTGACTCTCACCTAACTCCTCTGCCTGCCTGGGCTCCCATTTCCCCTTCTGGGGCCCAGATTTTGAGGATGTGCTCTGCCTGGGAGGTTGGGTTTGGGCCCATTCACTCACTCACTCATTCACTCCCTCACCTGGTGTGCTTGGCCTTGGAGATACAGAGCTGAGCAGCTGTGGGGGGTCCCCATTCAGTGCCAGCAGGGAAACCCGAGTCGGCGTGAGTGTGGAAAATCTGCCTCCAACCTTGTCAGCAGGGCCCCAGGTCCTGGATCCAGGCTTTTCTGGGGATCTTAGGGAACTCCATTCNCAGGGAGACAGTGCCAGCAGGGAAACCCGAGTCGGCGTGAGTGTGGAAAATCTGCCTCCAACCTTGTCAGCAGGGCCCCAGGTCCTGGATCCAGGCTTTTCTGGGGATCTTAGGGAACTCCATTCTGCATCCCATCCTGGGCTCATCCCAGTGCTTAAACTACATCGCCCCCTCCAGCGGGCATGCTCACTGCTGCCCACATCCATTTTGCTGGCATGCGTTAATTCCTGTAAGTGTTGGGGAGACGCAGAACACCCTCGTTCTGGTGCTGTGGCACTTGGGAGGGAAATTTGGGGGCAGGGTTTGCTGTAGACACAGGAGCTGGGTGGAGCTAATCTGGGAAGACTCCCAGGGAGAGGAGGCCACAGAGTTGGCTGGCATCTCTGGAAGGAACCAGAGCTCTGTGGCTCCATGACTCTGGAATCTGGTGACTTATTCTCTACTGACTCACCTATGGTTTTGGCCCTGCTTAGCAGAGCCAAGATGGCACAGCAAATCTCTGCAAGATAAACATATGCCATCAAGAATGGGAAAGGAGTGACAGGCACAGAGGAGGTGGGCACCCTACTTGGTAGTGAGGGCATCTGGGGAATGCTGTGCACTGAAGCCAGGTGGTGACCGCCCCCCCCAATCTCACACGAAAGGTCTGGATTTTCTTGATTAGACCTGGAGTCATCTCAGAGGCACTCACCCCCCCGACATAAAACCACAGTGTGGAAAAAGACTGGCTGCACAGGTCCAGTGCTGCCAGCTTTTAATTTTTGTCAAGCAAACACATTAAAAACAAAACAGAGCAATATTTATCGACCTCTGCCAATTTTATCTCTTAAGAGATCAGCTATGTTAAGAACCAAACGAGCAGAAAGGACGCGATCTCGGAATAGAGAGCAGTCTTGAATGGACACATGTAGCTTTAGAAACACCCTGTCGGTGGTGTGTTTCTTTTGCCCAGCACCTGAGGGACAGTTTCTTAAAGTTGTCCACGGGCACCGCTGGTGATGGCCAAGCCTTCTGATCTTACACATGAGCAACTGAGGCTGGAAGGGCAAGGGAGTGCGCATGAGGCAGAATTTCAGGTTTGCCATCAGAGAGATCTAGGCCGTTTGCTAGAGATCTAGGTGACCGGGGACTGCAGTCTCATCTCAGTGCTGAGCATGGTGACAACCCTGTCAGGAGAAATCCGATTAGGGCTCAGGGCCTGAGGCAATAGAAGGATTCTCAGAGATCAGCTCCTGCAACTCCAGCGTGGATTTGCTCCAGCTGGGAGCCAAACCTCAGGAACGGGAACCTCCTTCCACCGGGGCCTTCTGGAAAGATAGGGGGTACCCAACCATCTAGGTTTTCTGAAGGCTCAGGCAAGATGAATAAAACCATCCAATCCGAATCACCCCAGTGGCCCTTTGGAATAAGGTGGCCCTTGCTGAATGAGGGCAGTGACTAATGCCACATTTGTGGCGCTGCGGCTGGCGGGGTGGAGGTGGGGAAACTCTCCGTTTCCACTCATCCTTCTTCCTTCTGCCCGGCTCGAAAGAAGCCACGCTGCACTTTTTAAAATGTCGGTCCTTATTATCAAAGCAGTGAACTTTTCATGGTAAAAACTCCAGCAGTTGAGAAAGGTGGGATGGGATGTAGAAGGTAGAATTCCCCCTGCATTTTGTTTTATGTATAACCACAGTTAGCGCCGTCCATGTAAGAAACACCCAAACCTGCAGGAATTTTTGTGAGTTCATTTGAGCCAAACTGACGACAGTTGCCGGGAAGCAGAATCTCAAGGGATTGAGAAAATGCTCCAGAAACTGGTAGTTTTACTAGTTATTTTATACATCAGAATGAAAGGAGAAGACATAAGGGGGTTACAAGAAATCCACTGGGGGTAGATTAGGGAGGCGGGAGAAAGCCAAGCAGGGAAACCTCTGGGATTGGGTAAAAAGTAAAAGAAATAGAAACATACCCCTTTTACATAGGTGGGTACAGGCTAGTTAAGTCGACATAATGACACGGAGGGGATTTGTGGTCTCTGCTCTGGTGTGCTTTGAGGGGTGGGGATAGGGGCGGAAATTACCTTGATATTCCGAAGGTATGTAATCAGGTATGTTAATTTAGTTGCAAAAAGACAACAGACAGGCTCAGTTAAGGTAAAGATTGACCTTAGGGAGAAGTACCACCCTAGGACGTGACTCCCCGCCATGAACTGCTTTTAAGTTAGAAAGTTTGCATTTCAGACCATCCCGTGTGGTTACTTTAGGTCTCTGAGTTTGTGAGGCCGCCACACGGGCCTCCCCTGAGCTTGTCCGGTTTAGTACGTGGCCCCTGGGTGGTCCACACCCTGTTTTGCCATCACCTGTTTACATGTCACACACACACCCCTCCCCCCCGTTAGCTCTTTGAAGGCCAGGACTGAGTGTCACTGGTCCTAGTCCACATTCAGCGCCTGGCACCCAGTAGCCGCTCAGAGGCTTGCTTGCTGGGAGTATCGGGTGTGGACATTTTGATAGTCTTTCCTCTCCAGACTCTTCTCTGGGCAGAGCTATTCCTGTCCTGGAGCTCTTGGTGGCAATTTAGCCAACTCCCCATGAGACGGGCCTGGCTGAGCCTGGCCTCTTTCCTGTGGCCTCTTCAAAGGTCATTCAGCGTCCTCCTGTTGCCCTCATCTTAATAGAAATTGCCCTCATTTTAACAGAAATTGCCCTCATCTTAATAGAAATTGCCCTCATCTTAATAGAAATTGCCTTCATCTTAATAGAAATTGCCCTCATTTTAACAGAAATTGCCCTCATCTTAATAGAAATTGCCCTCATAACAAATGTTTCCCTCCTGGTCCTAGAGGTCACCTGGGTGAATGGTTTTGGGTCCTTGGAGCAAGAATAAAACCCAGAACCAGAGAGAAGACTGATAGATCTGGCTGCACAAAAGCCAAAACCTCTGTATGGTAAAAACAAAAAAGCAAAGATCAACTGAAGCACAAACATAGTTTTCACGTTAGTGACAGGTCAAGGGCTAACACTTACACAGAGAATTTCACCAACCAATAAGAAAAGACTTTTAAAAAACACAATAGAGAAAAATAGTAAAGGACATGAACCAAAGAATTATAAGTGACCAGTAACATTAAGAAAATAGCCCTGGCTCCGTTGGTTGAGTGTCGTCCCACACACCCAGAGGTTGCCGGTCCTGTTCCCGGTCAGGGCAATGCCCGGGTTCCCGGCTTGATCCCCCGTGGGGAGCACGCAGGAGACGGCTGATCCGTGTTTCCCTCTCCCAGAGAGTTAATGGATATGCGAGTGGCTAGGACGGTGGCTGGCGCAGAGGAAGACCTCAATAGATACTAGCGGGTATTGGTGTGGGGGTAGGAATAGAGGTTAGTACAGCTTTTGGGGGAAGGCTGCTTGTCAATATCCATTAAAATGAAAAGTACATGTTCCCTGTGACCCAGCATTTTCTCTTTTAGGGATTTAGCCAGACAGGTGCACAAAGACAGACAGATGTTCACGTGAAAGGCAGCTCGTCACTGTTGTTTTTGACGGTTTAACACTGGAAAGGGCTGTGTACCCAGCTTAGGGCTGCTCTATGCCTGTCCCTGGGCTGACCTAGTGTCCCCTCTCCTCTCCAGGTGGGCGTTTCTGGAGCTGCACACCAATGGCCGCTACAATGACAGCCTGCAGGCCTATGCAGCGGGCGTGGTGGAGGCCTCCGTGTCCGAGGAGGTAAGGGCCAGACGGGAAAACCTGGGGCTTCGCTTCCCCCACCCCACCAGCCGTGTTCCCCAGGGAGCTTTGGAGAGTGCCAGTGTATGTGCAGAGTGGGCTTTCCACCCCCAGCCCTCCATCTAGTTGGGGAGAAAAGGCTCACATGCATTCCTTAAAAATCTGCACGAGTTTCTATTTAATGCATGCAAAAACCACATCACATGTTTCAAGTTACAAAGCATAGTAAGGTGAGCACCCAAACTAAAACCTGGATTGTCACTGATACTATTGAAGCCCCCTCCCAAACCCATTTTCCCTTCCCCCAGAGACACCCCACCCTAAATGTGGTGGCTCCCATTCATTCATTCATTCATTCATTTATATTGAGATACAATTCATATGCCTTAAAACTCACTATTTTAAAATGTCCAAAACAGTGGGGGTTTTTCAGTGTCTTCATAAGGTTGTACAGCCATCACTACTATGTAATTCTAGAACATTCTTATTACCCCAGAAAGAAACGACATACACATCAGCAGTCACCTTTTCCCCCCTCTTCACCCAGCCCCTGGCAACCACTAATCTGCTTTCTGTCTCTACGGACTAGGTCATTCTTGACCTTTGATATGAGGGGACTCCTACAATATCTGGTCTTTTGTGTCTGGCTCCACCACTGGGGAGGTGGTCAAACTCTGGGCCGGGCCCGGGCTGTGTTGACTGACAGGTTGAGTACATAGAGAGATTGGGGGGTCCCCAGTGACAGAGGGGGTGTAATCTAGGACAGGCTTTGAATGCTACAGGGTTTCAGAGGAGGGAGATGTCCAGGTGTCAGATCCTGTAGGGATGAGAGCTGGCTGGGCGAGAAGGGCCTCTGGGGAGCGGAACCAGCAGAAGCAAAGGTGCAGAGGCCTCATCAGGGCGCCCTGCTCTTCGGAGACTCAGCCCGAGTGGGGAGCTGGTGGGGTCCCCAGGGAAGAGAGCAGCCCACTGCCCTCCCCTTGCCCCCACAGCTCATCTATATGCACTGGATGAACACGGTGGTGAATTACTGCGGCCCCTTCCAGTACGACGTTGGTTACTGCGAGAAGCTCAACAGCTTCCTGGAGGCCAACCTGGAGTGGATGCAGGAGGAGATGGAGCAGAACAAGGACTCTGCCTACTGGCACCAGGTGGGCGTGGCCACCGTGCTCAGTGGTGGGGCGGGGCGGGGCGGGGCGGGTCT